ATGATGATGATGATGATGTTGAGAAAAATGAGGATGATGACCGGTTAAACGTGGTTGTGGCCTATGGAAATAAATATGTTAGATAATAATGAATAAAGAATTTTATGGCGCAAAAAACTTACATAATTATAATTTTTCTTCCTTAGAAAGTAACTAATCAAGATTTAATACATGGATGAAACACAACAAATTAAAACTTCACAAAAAAAAAGAAAATAATAATTACAGAAAAAGAAAAATTTCCAGATCTTAATATAAATAATAATGAAAGATGAGTAAGAAATAAACAAACGAATAGAAAAGGCATATGAAGAGGTAACCAATAAAAAACATAATGTCGAGAGAGAGCGCTATATGTCAATAGAATTTTGACAGTGTTCAGACTATAAAGACTTGAAGGACATATTTAATTCAGGATAAATTCAAAATCTAAGCTAATAATCCGAAATTTTCAAAAGGACTTATATTCGAACTGCACGTACAGATTGCAATCAGTATCAAAGTTTTGTAAAATACAATATTTAAAAGATAGGCCGGGTCAAAGTTACTCTGTTGGGAAACCCGGACTCGGTCGAATCGTACACATTTCTCGGACAATTAGAGCCTATCAGGTCCAAAATTTTCGGACTCGTAGTCGACCGATTTCGGAACCAACCCGATGGTATTCAAATGTGTAAGTTTGCTTTTTATGATTATTAGACAACATGTGAAATATATTTGTAATACGTTTTAGGACGGCGCGGAGTCGTTTTCCACTATTTCAAGTCAAACATTCATATTCGTAAATGACTGTTTACGGTGAGAATGGGAACTATATAATTTAACGAATTTTGTTTCAGATTATATTATGACAGAAATCAATTAAAAGTGAATATGAATTATTGATTTTATTTTTACTTTTCTTCATTTATTGAATGTAATTATAAGTTAAAATAAAGTATATTTTAAACTGTGAGTCTTCAGCTAATTCTACAAGAGGAAAGAAATAGAAAAAAGACGATGATAACAAGAGAAGTCCAACAATCTCTAATGTTCAGATGTAAATTCAACATAATCCAATGGGATCCTATTTTAGGATTTTTCTTCCTTGGCAGATATTCTACTGTCGTATGTATGAGACATTACTGGCATCTAAATAGAATTACTTCAGCAAATTAAAAAATTTTTTTTTTTGGCGATAGACCGGAAACGTCAAAGTATTATTATCCCTGTAGATGATTATTTGATTCATCTCGACGAATTGTTCTCTATATAAAACAAAACTCAATCGCTATTCATGGATGATGAAAAAAGCGCTGATTTTTTTCTATAAAATAACTATTCAAAATATTCAGTTTTTAATTTTTTTAAAGATTTTCGTTTGATTACTAATTGTCATAAGAAAAAAGAAAAACCAATGTTTAGTTTAATTCATCCATCATTACACAAATCAGTCAGCTTAAACAAAATAATTATACTCTAATCGACTATGATTTTTTCAATAGCAAATAATTAAAGATTTATCGAATCTATCATTTGTCATTATACACGAGTTTTGACATTTGTCTAGTGAATATACTGAATTCAAGATACCTGAAATATTACTCTATTATTAGTATATAATAGGAGTGTTTGAATTGTTCTTTTAGTATTTGATTCCAAAATGCTTCTAAATGTTCAATTGAGTACTTTTACATTTCAAATTTGTGATCATTCATAAAAGTTTCAGTTGTAATTTTCGAAAAATCTTAATGGTAGTAACTGGTGCCATCTAATCAAAATTTGAAAGCATACTTTGATTAGTTTACGAAGGCATCTATTTATTTTACTATAGCTGCATGAAAGAAGTAGAAACGAATTGTTTTGTATAAAGAATTTTTTTTTTTTGTTTCTGTTCAATGAGGCTTTTATTCTGACAAGTCTTTAAAAAACAATAAGGTATGTTTGCTGTAATTAATAATTCTCTTTCACGAATGCGTCGTAATGCTGATTCAACATTTGGACCACAACCATTACGTATTGGTATACTTGGTTTTGGTCATCTTGGACAATTTCTTTGTACACATTTTGAACGTGAACGTACAAAACCAACACGTGACTTTGATCTTATATTTATATGGAATCGTTCGAAGACAATTTTTACAAAATATGGTAAAGAATTAGATCAATCATTAGTTGTTTCAACTGTTCAAGAAGGTTTACAACGTTTACCTGATTTAGTTGTTGAAGTAGCACATCCTGATGTTATTAGAACATATGGTGAACAAATACTTGATGTATGTGATCTGTTTATTGGTTCACCAACAGCTCTTGCTTATGCACCACTTGAAGCTAGATTAAGAAAAAAAAGTATAGAAACAGGACAAGCTATTTATATAGCAAGTGGTGCTTTTTGGGGTGCAGATGATATTGTTAAAATGAGTGAACGTGATTTAGTTCGTTCTTTGACTATTACTATGAAAAAACATCCTGATTCTTTTAAATTAAATGAACCATTACGTTCAAAATTACTACATGAACGAGCTAAAATTGGTGATAAACATGAAGAAATCATTATTTATTCAGGTCCAGTTCGTGAATTATGTCGATTAGCACCAAATAATGTCAATACAATGGCTGTTGGTGCTATTGTTGCTGATCATCTTGGTTTTGATGGTGTTCAAGGATGTTTAGTTGCTGATTCATCTTTGACTGATCGACATATTGTTGAAATTGAATTGTCTGGACCAGAGACAACAATAGGCGATAAAAAAAAGCCAACATTTCATTTAAAAACAGTAAGAACAAACCCAGCTGAAATAGGTTTTATCACTGGTACAGCAACACTTCTTTCGTTTGTCAGTAGTATTAAACGCGCTAAAGGTCATATCACTGGTATTCATGTTGTTTAAATAATTCGAATCTCTACTACGATTTCTCTCATTTGTATTTTTCAGATAAAAATATCATCTAAATCATCTAGTAATAGATCATCATCGAAGCGAAAAATGCAGACATCGCCAACATCAATTAAATACGCTAACATTAAATTCATATCCAAATATTGTTATGATCTCTCTGAAGATAACATAATTCGTTCACGTTAGAAAGAAAATATGATTATGAACATCTTCAACAAGCGTTTAAAACCAAGTATATTGAAAAAATTTATCTTTATGATTAGAAATTCTGTAGTAGCTATCAATTAAGATTAAAATCAATAGTTGTTTATATATCAAACCAATATTTGAATCAGATCAACTTTTACAACAGTTGAATTATGTGAATCTTCAAACGATGATACCATCGACTGTGCCAATAAACAAAATTTGAAAGACAACGAACATATACAGATTCATCTATGGCTGTAATAGATAGTGAGAATCATATGTTTACAATGCATTCAAAGAAAAATTATTTAGAAATTATTTCTTTACCAACATCATTGATAAACAATGAATTACAATCATTATTTTTGAATGATATGCAATTATATGTTACACCACCTGTTAATCCATTATTATTCTTGTCTTCTTCGTTAACTATTTGATTATAATTTGTTTTTCATTTCAAAAAACAAATTCAACAATGATGCTAGATTCGGATCAATTTTTTCAATTCAAAAAATGAATATTATTTATAAACATATAAAAGTTTTTGTGTTGATAGTTTTCTAGTTAAATGTATTACTTCTAATGATAGTGAGTGGATCATAATAAATGACCGCATTTTTACAGCATAAAATGCATTTTATTAAAAAATAAAATATACAATAGGATGCAAAATGAAATGCTCTACAATACAAAGCTTATTTTATGCATACACCTTTAGTTTTCAAAATAGATAAAATTCTGTGTGAATAATTTTCGATGCGACGGACAAGATCGATTTTCGATACATAGGACAAATTCCTTATTTCTTCAATTAAAGAGTCAGATCAAAGATCATAATCAATGACTAATTTTAGATCAACTGATATGTGTTTTGATCGAATTTTTTTTCACTCATTCTGATGCTATCTTCAAAAGAATTATGGCGTTTTTTAATGATCTTACGTCTTCAATGATATTTAAACCTGGTGAAATACTATCACATATTATTCTTTCATAAGTAATTACATATGATCACCAAACAATCTCAAACTCAATGTTTTACACAATTGGTCACACAGAATTTTTTTCTATTTGAAAATTAAAGATGCATATATATAAAATAAGCTTTGAATTGTAGAACTTTTCGTGTGATATATTTTATAATAAAACATATTAGATGATAAAAAACTTAAATACAGAGCGCGGCCATTCATTGTGGTCCATTCGTTTTAAGAAAATTAGCTGCATGAATACTGAAGATTTGCGGGACTAATTTTAACTTACGAGGGAGGTACCCGAAGTAATTCACCGTCTTAGAGCCCATACTTTGGGCACATCGAGGATACATCTAAACTAGAATAATCCTAAAAGGATTTGGGCCCATGATCCTTTTGAGCTGAGATATTGAATTTTCAAGTTTTAGCAGGTAAGAAGGATTTTGATCTTTTATTTCGATAATTTCGAACACAAAAATGTTCTGTTATCTAGAAATTTCATAATAAACTCACTGTTTCGTCAGCAAATTACTGTGAAATTTTCAGATTTTATCTCATTTCTGTAAGCCACAGCGGTTCTCTTGAGAATCTTACAATGGAGGTGTTTGTGTCGTAAGTTGAAAAGACCAGATATTTTTGCATCAAAAGAAAGCTCTCGCCGCCAAACTAACAAGGTTAAAATATTAGCTGATGTTGGCTTGCCTGGAGGGAGATATTCGATTTTTGTGGTCCTCCCGGTTAGGGTATATAGGTACATTAGAACTATTTACATTAATTTTTTATGCAATCAACTGAGTATTTCGATAGTAGGCTACAAGAATCTTTCTGAAATTTATCAATAGCAGTAGGATTACGTTAGTTTTGATGACTTCTGGGACTAAAATAGTATCCATATAGATAAAGATCAGCTAGTAGTTATCAGAATCTTTAACTCGTCAATAGTTTCGATTTTATTTCAGCTAAAAACAACAGATTATATAATATACTATTTTAACAACTGTAATACAAGTGCAGATGTAGGTCTTCAATCAGATGATAGTAACAAAGAGCTTGTTTGCACCAAGCGCACATTAATAGTGTTCGTTCATTGGAATTATTAACTGAACAGTATAGATCGTAAAATTTGAAGAAAACATCTTTTGGTTTTTCAATATGTCCATTTGTTTCATTTGTTATTCGAGCTTGTATAAATCCGTTCTTAATGAGATTTTTAAATTGTGGAGCAGATAATTGATTGTGAATAACAGAATGCATGTTGATGAAATATTGACGATCACTTAAAGTTATTTCAGTTCGATTAATATGAGTATAATGTTCGATTTTTTCATGAATAAATCGCCATGAACGGAATAAAGAAAGATCTTGTGGTTGAATATAACCGGTTGATCCTTCAGGAAAAATCAATAATTGACTGTCTTGATTAGGAAATACTGCTCTAAATTTTGTTAGATCAGTTTGAATTGTCCAAGCATCAAGGAAGAGAAGAAATTTTTTACCAACCAATGGGCGTAGAACTTCATTTAAAAAAGCATGATGTTTTTCATCACTGCTTTTTCCTGATTTTGAAGCTCTGACTACAACATTTTTGGTGGTATAATTAAATTTTGTTGCACTCTTGTACCGAATATATTTTCTTTTTCCTGAAGAATGAGTAAGAACTTGTCCAATAAATGACTATTAGCTGATGTAACTGGTTGAACTGTATAGGAATGCGTTATATTATATTTCTTTTTAACAGTCACTTCTGTTGTTCTTTCACCAGTAAAAGAAAGGATCCTTGGTGGAACATATTCTTGTTGAAATGAACAGTGATCGCTGTTTAAAATTTGGTGAGAAGAATACTTTGATATTAAAGTTCTTTTATTTTCAATCCAATTTTGAGCATCTAAAATATATATGTATATTACATTAAGACATACGTATTTAAAGACCAAATAAAAGTTTACATACCATTTAAACTGCAAAGTTTTTTGTTTGATTTGGTTCGGGTAATAATTTTGTTATATCTTCTGGATGATATTCCGTTTTCTCTTTTAAAAGTATTGATAAACAATTTACTTACCTTGAATGTATCCCAATTTAATTCTCTTGCTTTTTGAATTGCATAGAGTTCAAGATCAGTATCATGAAGGGCTTCCTTTTTAATGGTTCTTTTCAGATAAAATTCGTCAAACATAAATGCTTTAATTTGTTTTAATTTTTCTAATCTCGTGCCGTCGTTTTCGATATATTCTCTAAATTTTGTAATATAATTCATGGATTTGATCTTTCTAAATCGATTAGAAATTGTTACAAATCTGGCATTCGGATGTTCGTCAACCCATTCGATTATATTTTCCATTTCTTCTAATGTAAACCGATTTTTTAAATCAGAATGATCAGTCTCATCATAATCATCCATTTCATCGTCAGTGTCTTCTTCATTGGTCATATCATCATTGCTCTCTTCTGCATCAGCCATTTCATCATATTCATCTTCAAATTCGAGAGTATCATAAGTATATAGCTCACTAAAGTAGCTATCTGTAAATGACTTTAGAACTTGAAACAATCGTTCTGCAACAAAAATTTCATCGGTAGTTGTTGCAGAATTTTCAGATCCATATTCAGTTTGAGTCAAATGAAGAAGATGTTTGGCGATGTTCAATAAATTCATGGTTTTATTTCACGAGATAAACGTTTTTATTCGGTAGATACGGCAGAGAATGAAAAAGAATAATTCTTCGATAGTATATTTGATTTGTGATCTCTTCACACCAATCGCAAAGAAGCGGTCAAATAGACCACCAAGTGATGCATTGATGCACTTTAATTTCAAATATTGTATACACACGTCATTTTGTAAACATATCATATTCCTTTGTTTTCATTTCGATAGTACGGAAGTTCCAGAAGACACTGAAACTAATGTAATCCTACTGCTATTGATAAATTTCAGAAAGATTCTTGTAGCCTACTATCGAAATACTCAGTTGATTGCATAAAAAATTAATGTAAATAGTTTTAATGTACCTATATACCCTAACCGGGAGGACCATAAAAATCGAATATCTCCCTCCAGGCAAGCCAACATCAGCTAATATTTTAACCTTGTTAGTTTGGCGGTGAGAGCTTTCTTTTGATGCAAAAATATCTGGTCTTTTCAACTTACGACACAAACACCTCCATTGTCAGTGTCAAACTAACAAGGTTAAAATATACGCTGCCCTTGACCTGTCTTAAAAGAGATATTCAATTTTTATGGTAGTCATCTTTTGTGTATATAGCAATATTAAGATCATTTTGTATCAATTTTTCATAGGACCAACGGAGTATTTTAATGATAGGCTTCGAGAATCTTTTTAAAGCATATCAATAACAGTAAGATGACATTAGCTTTAGTCTCTTCTGAAAATTCAATACAATTAAAATGAAAACAAGTTATATAATGCATTTGACAATTGACTTATACCCTTAATTCATGCACTAAAAGTGCATTGATGTGTCACTTGGTGGTCTATTGACCATTTCTGTATGATTGATGTCAAGAAATTACCAAGAAATATACTATTCAATAGTTGCTCTCTTGTTTTCTCTGCTATATTTAACCTATAAAAAGATTCATTTAATCAAATTAAAGGATGAATTTATTGAATATCGCTAAACATCTTGTTTATTTAACTCAAACTGAATATGGATATGAACATTCTGCTATTACTACTGATGAAATTTGTGCTTCCAAGCAGTTGTTCGAGGTTCTGAGGTCATTCAAAGATAGCTATTTCAGTGAAATTCATACTTATGATACTCTCGAATTAGCTGATGAATATGATGAATTAACTGATGATAAAGAAACCGATGATAAATATGAAGAAACAACCGATCAAGAAGAAGATAGTGATAGTGAAGCTGATGATTATAATGAGAATGAACACTATGATATAAAAAATCATTTTACATTAGAAGAAATGGAAAATATAATCGAATGGGTTGATGAACATCCAAATGCTAGATTTACAACTATTTCTCATAGATTTCGGAAAATCAAATCCATGAAGTATATATTAAGGTTTAGAAAATACATTGAAAATACCGGCACCAAATTAGAAAAATTAAAACAGATAAAGGAATTTATGTTTAATGAATTTTATTTGAAAAGAACAATTGAAAAAGAAGCTGTTCATGATGATGATTTAGAACTTTACGCAATTCAAAAAGCAAGAGAATTAGATTGGGATACATTCAAGGCAAGCAAATCCTTTATCAATACTTTTAAAATAGAAAATGGCATATCATCGCGACGGTACAATAAACTCATTACTCGAATTAGATCGAATAGAAAAGTCTGCAGCTTAAATCATAATTAAACTTTTACTTGCTGTTGAAAAATATGTACTATCTAATTTACAAAATATTTTAGATGCTCAAAATTGGATCGAAAGTAAAAGAACATTGATATCAAAGTATTCTTCTGATCAAATTTTAAATAGCGATCATTGTTCATTTCAAAAGAATATGTCTCTCCACGAACTCTTTCTTTCACTGATGAAAGAACAACAGAAGTGGCTATTAAAAGAAAGCACAATGTCACTCATTCCTATACAGTGCAACCTGTTACATCAGCTGCTGGTCGATTACTGAACAAATTCTTACTTGTTCTTCAAGAAAGAGAACATGAATTTGGCGGTATAGTGGTAAAAAATATGATTATTTCGCCAAATGTTATAGTACAAACATCAAAATCCGGAAAAAGCACTGCTGCAAACCATTATATATTTTTAAATGATGTACTGCGTCCTTGCGTACATAAAAAATTTCTTCTACTCCTTGATTTTTGGACAATTCAAACTGATCAAAATAAATTTCGAAAAGTATTTCCACATCAAGACAGTCGACTATTGATTTTTCCCAAAGAATCAACCGGTGATATTCAACCTCAAGATTTATCATTGCTTCGTTCATGGTGATATTTCCACAAGAAAATCGAACACTATATTCATATCAATCGAACACAAATGAATTTAAGTGATCGACAATATTTTATCAACGTACATTCCGTCATTCATAATCAACTATCAGCTCCACAATTCGAAAACCTCATTAAGAGTGGATTTATACAAGCTCGAATAACTAATGAAACAATTGGACAGATCGAAAAACCAAAAGACATTTGTTTCAAATTTTATGATTTATACTGTCCATCCCAAGATTTGTGATGAACGAACATTATTAAAATGTACTTGGTGCAAAAATACTTTATGCTATTATCATTTGATTGAAGATTTACATCTACATTTATAGTATATCTATTGAATTAATGTATTCTATAACCTATTTTTTTTCATTTCGAATAAAATAAGAACTATAGATGGACTGAAATTTTCAATAACTATTATCTGATATTTATCTATACTGATATGATTCAAGCTCCAGAAGAGGCTAAAGCTAACGTCATCTTACTGTTATTGATATGCGGGTAATTCCGTGGGGTTCCTACCACGAAATACAGAAGTATCTCCGATTGGCCTTCAAATCGAACCATTCGATAGAACTTTTTGCGCTGATCATTTTGGTAACCAAAA